TTGAAAATGATTAGATTAATTTAAATTCGTTTTAAATGTTTTTTATTTTGAGTTTGATTTACATGTAACAAGACTTTTTCTAAATTAATTTTCAATCTTTAAGAATTATTTGAGAATTTAATAAATTGTAATATCGTAATTATAATTTAAAAGTATTTGAAATATTTTTTGCTTCATTAACATTTGGAATATTCAAATGAAAAAATAATAATTATTAATTTTTCGTAAACGAATTACAATGTCCAAGTTGGTAAAACGCATGTTTGGTCAGCATTTAACTCAGCTAATTTAAATAAGTGAAGCGAACTGCGACGTATGCAGTCACGAATAATTAGTATACTTTCTACGAAGGAACAAACTTCCATTAAGAGAAACAATAATTAAATTGCACTTTTTTTTCGCAGTGCATTTATTTATAGAATTTAATTGGTTTTCCGAACAATCGTTTATCTTTCAATCCAGAATCCCATGTAATTACTTTCTTTTATTCGTTTCGAACAGTGCGTGCGTAGAACGATATTTGAAAATGATTAGTTAAATGTGGACGATGAAAAATAGAGGAATAACAGAGAATTCAATTAGGAGACTTTCAGCCACAAAATGAACGTAAGTATTGTATCGTGCGTTGTGTAACAAGAATCTGTACCTTCATTTATATGACGTGAACATAATTGCAATTAATTATCAACTCCCTTATCATTGCATTATCACAGAACTGTAAGTTCACCAGTAGAACCTAGGTATCTGGGTTAACTCGATTATATCTTTGATCTAATTGCTATTCAACGTACTTTGAACTATCAAAAGAATAATTATTACCTCTAAAAGAATCATCCTTATTAGACAATTTTTTTGTTTTATTAGAAAATTATCATTTTTAACATAAAATATCTCTATTGAATAATTTAATTTATTAATTTATTAGTTTAATCAATTCTTTTTATTATGCGGCAACAAGATTCTTATTTTAATGCAGACTATAGATAAATTTGATTGATGATAGAGTTTAATTTTAATTTTAATTTTAATTTTAATTTTAATTTAGGTTTCAATTTTTTAGACAGAGAGAATTATTAGTTTAATTTATTCATTTATTCGGAAATTTAACAATAGCCAATATTTACATATTGTATTTTAACGATAACCGATATTGATTTAAAAAGTTATTAAAAAGATTTGTTATTATTAAATTCATATTATCTTCGCCATAATTGAATATTCATTTCGTTGTTCACGTTGGATTAACTATTGAACAAGTGCGGTTTAATTGAAGACTTAAATTTAATAAATCGAAAAATCCAATAATTGATCGCAACCCGAATCAAAATCGAAGAAGACGACGTGTTTCTAGTCGTAATGCATTGCTGAATCGTCGTTTCACAAGGTTTTAATTACTACAACATGAGCGTCAGTGCCACAGAATTACTCCATTAGTGGATAAAAGTTAGCTCAGCTTTGCTAATTCTACGTGTCTCTAGTTAAAATGTTCACTGCTTCAATTATAGAAATTCTCGCAACACGATCAAACTTTTCACCGAACCTTATAGAAAATCAAACTCTTTCTCATCGACTGTCCAATCGACGATCAAGGAACGAAGATTTTCAAGGAAAACGATCACAGAATTAAAATATTATTTTTTTTCTTTTTTTTTTTTCTATTATTTTTACACACTTTTTCTATTCGAGAATATTACACAGCACGTTCATAACGTATTCGTATAATATAATCGATAAGAGAAACGCGCGATTCAATATTCCACTTCTGAGTGTGATACATGCATTTGCGCCGACTTTGACAGGATGTCGATCGATCGAAAATGTCCATATATTTTTCTGTCTTCCCATTACCTGCGTGATATATCGACCGACAGTGACATCATTCTGAATACACACCTCTCAGAAACGGCTGTTTCTACGTGCGAATACAAAACTCGTTCGCTCGACCCCTACGTTACACTTCGTAGATGCATTTTGCCATCCTCGATCAGTTTCACGACGAGTCATCGATATTTGTCAACTCTGTTCCAATCAGATATATCTTACTTAAAGTTCTATGTGTGTATTGGTACAACGAAAAAAAATCGTGGAAATAAAGAAAGGAATATTCTTTTTTTGTTGAAAAAGTGTTTGAATTTTGAGTTAACTTAATGAAAATGATTACTTGAAAATATTTCGATAAATATTTTTTGCTCTCTTCAATTAAGAAAACTTAATTTTTCTAATTCTTGATTATTTATTTTTTTTATTAATTTTTAATTTTCCAATTTTCTGTTAATTTTAAAATGATATAATCAAAGAAAATTATATGAAAACAATATTTGATTGGAATAAAGTTTCACAATCATTTTTTAATTGTTGGTTACATTTCCAAAATTTAAAAATCAAAAAACTTATAATTGTTATTAATTTTCTTTTTAACAATAAATTTGAATTTAATAACATTAATTTAAGAACGCTAATGTAACACTCTTGGATTATATCCTCTCGAGGATTCTCATCAGAATTGTTCACTCCATAAAAGTATATGTACTAGAAAATGTCTGTTGTTGCGTACTTTTGGGATCTCCTGTCTCATGATGCGATAAACTGTACACCTTAGTGGAATTTTTAAAGCGAAAGAAGATAGAATTTATAAATCGATAGCTTCTATAAATAACGCAAAATTTAATCGAATATTTCATAATGAATAAAATATTATTTGCTAGAAAAAAATCACCGTTAGGAAGGAAAAATAATCATCCTTAATTATACAAACCCAGAAACTTTCTATATCAAGATCAATCATGCAATGTTATCTTTATCCTCTCTCCTTTTTTCCTTTTCAAAACTTTCAAAACTCAACTCTTCTGAGATATGATTTTAAAAACCTTTAATACTAACCTTTAATGCGAAGTAACATCAACTCCTCTCGCGAGTATTCCACGATGAACTTGTAACAGCTATTATCTTATAATAATTCTACTGATTACATTCAACCAGAGCACGTTACTTATCAAACTATTCATTCGTTTCTTCGAACACAAGAAAAAAGAAGCAATTTCCAAAGAAATAAGAAAAGATTTTCAATTTTCGGATTAGTTTAAAACTCGATGGAATTCGTGATTCGCATTTCCCATTTCGCACTTATCCGTTATCTCATTTTTTTTTTTTTACTTGAAATTGTCCAGAATCCTGTCTCATTTAACGCTGTATCGTTCGAAGATGGAAGGAGTTCACGATAAGAGTAACAAACTCTCGTATTTTTCTCTCTCGAAATTCACCGATAAACTCCTCCACGTTTCTCGAGGAGAGAGACAACTTTGAAAATATTTGCCTATATTTGAACCAGTAATTTCACGCTTGACTCCTGTCCGCTCGTCGATCTATGTGCAGCCGAGTTTTGGATCGTTCCTCTCCATCTTTTCCATCTAACATTTAGATAGAAAGTGAAAATTAAATTTCCTGGAAATTTAGGCTTGTCTATCGGAATATAAAATATGGAATGTGGGGAAGTTTATGAGTCCTTCTCAGTCCTCTTGCTGACTTTTAACTTTTCCCTATTCTTTCTTCAATGTTCCGCCATTTTTACTTTTGCACGAGTTATCTAAGAAGAAGAAGAATACGTATGGAAGAATTATATGTCTTCTCACAGTGACCACTGAGATTCTTTTATATATGAGAGAATTCCTTCCTTGGATTTTGTACCGTAAAATCGACTGTTTTAATGCTTTGCAATTTTATACATCGAATTAATTTAACATAATTGTCAGGTATTTAAATAATTTATTGTGAAAAAAAAATCTTTTTTCGTCTCATAAAAATATTTTCTTAAAAATACATCGAATACAGATATTTTTCAAAGAATACATATTGAAATAATTTCGTGCATACATTATTTGCATACATTTTCTCGATTATGTAATATTGCAAATATATACGTAAAATATTTCCTAACTAATTTCTCCGGTTAAACACAAACTTTGACAAAATTTGACAATCATTACTTTTGAAAATATCAATTTAACATTTTCCATTTTGGAGGATAACTTCAGTGTTCTCGTTTTCCGATATTCATCTCTAGGATTTTATCGTTTTTGACACGGACACGGAAGGAAAATGGTTCGCGAGACTTCTTGCAAAGGTAAAACGGATATCTAGACAAAATCCTTTATAGCCTAAAGTAGGTCCTTGAATTTAAAACTCCGTAGGCGAAACTTCCAAACTTGTACGAAGAATAAAAATATCATTTTTGAGAGGCATAAAAAGGCAGAGAGAAATGGAAAATCTAAATTTCATCGAATTTTTCTCGATTTTGTTAACGATAATCGTTTCAATTCGATCGATAAATTATTTATTCAGCAAATAACCGTGAACGTGGAAACGAGATAATTATCTGATATTTATCGAATAATCGCAACCGAATTATTCCTGGGATAATATCTCTAATAATGCCAATGAACGTTTGAACTTTCGATTTAATTTATCTATATAATATTTATAAAAGAATGAAAGGGAAAAAAGATTGATAATACAACGGAAGATTTTCTCTATCATATAAAGTGAACATTAAATTACTGCGAGTATTATTTTGTCGCCTCTGAAGACTAATAGAAAAATGGTATCGTAACGTTTTGCACAATTCTGAAAACTGGCAATTCTGAAAAAGTTTCTATGGCGTGATTAAAAAGCTTGTTTCAAAATTTAAAAATGTATGCTTGAGTGAATTCATTTCGAAGATAAAAGTTGTCCACATAGTTCCAAGTGGTTTTTTAATTATAAATATTGCAATTAAATTCCTATACTTTCAAAAAAGTTGCAAGCTCTTAATTTTATCGAAAACTATCCTCTTATACTTTCTTTTTAAACGACCATGAGATTCTCCAACATTTGGAATTACGTATCATCGATTACGTATAATCGATTTTCACGCGTGAATTTATGGCTTATGTGAGTTTTACATCTCTACGGACAATAGGATTGGAAAGCTTTTTTCTAATCTAGTGATATCTTTTCATCTACAGGTGACGACTTTCAACGACGTTGAACAACTGGACGTTCGTCCTGTGGGAGACAGAGAGCAGAAATAAGGATGGCCTTTCATTGGGATAAGCTCTCACCGGCGGAATTTCAACAACTCCAGGATTTAGCAGCTTGTAAGTAAAGGGAAAAAAGTGGAAACAGTAGAATGTCACCGAGTTTCACGGGAATCAAACTCTGTTATACGAACTAAGGGAAAACCAGTAGTATCGGAAAAATCGAGGCATCGGTGTAACCGAGTTTTTATGTCGGTATAAAGCACTTTACAAGAGAATGAAAAATTTTATCGTTCGATTGTATACGTGAAAAATACTCTTTATATTTTGAACAAATCCCGTTGAGATTATTTTATGACAGATTTTATCGCTCGTGTATGAATGAAATTTTCACAGAATTTTTTAAAGTTTTTTAAAGTTATTATAGTGGTTGATACATAAGAGATTTTGTTTCTTCAAAACTTGAATTTGATAGGCAAATAGTTATTAAATTTTCTGTTTTGTTTTTTATTTTTATGAATAATATTAAAGAAGAAGAAATTTGCTGTAAATTATACGCAACGTATTATTATATTTTGGAATAATAATGGATAAAAATATTAGTCGGAATATTTGTCAGAATTGAATTTGGAAAGAGTGAAGTTGTGTTAAAAATATAAATTTAGATCCACTTAAATAATTTTTTAATCGATAAATTATTTCGAAAAAGTTGCATTCCTCGAACATTCCTCGACTTGGTAACGAATAGTGAAACTAGCATAACATTTCAAAGTATATATTAACATACTAAATATCCAAAGTACACATTTGAAAATGATTAGAACTCGTAGCGTGATTAATAAAATAACTTTCGGAGGTCTCGAGTGAAACTCGTGGAATGTCGAGCTCATTGTTTATGGAATTATGGAAATTCATGTATCGTCTGGAAGAAACTGGAATTCATTTTGAATGTATTGCAGAAGTCGGCTGCTTTTCGGATAAATTCCAAATTTTGTGACAGCACACTTTTCTCATGTAATCCTCTGCTAAAACTTACGATCTTATGTTCTTCGTTTTATTAATCCTATAAACACCGTTGAAATTGTTAGCTTTCCGTTTCAGTATCATGAATCTTCGACCGGAAAAGGCGCTTTTACGTATCACGTATTTATGTATCCGTAACAAGCCATTTCCACTTTATCCGGCCAGGCAGCGCTATATAATTTCTATCGGACGATTCGTCAAAAACGCAATCATCGTTTATTCTAATGAACATTAATTGCTCTATTTACTCAAATTGATAATTATTATCTTCATCAATTTTAATAATTTAAATAACGAAATACTGTTTTCGATCGAATATAGAAAGAAAAAAAAAAGAAAAAAGCAATCAGTAATTGCAATCAGTATTCAATATTCTCGACATTGATTTCCCAAGATTTTTTAAGAAGAACCAACCTCGATTTCCTGATTTTCCGATTTTCGGCCGGAAACACGAATGTAAAAACGTTAATCAAGCGTTCTATCGGTGCACGATCCATCATATTTCTCGTCAATCGTCCCGAAAATAGTCGCTATCCAAAAATATCGTGTTCGTTAAGTGCATTATGACGTCGACGCTGGCTAGATTAGGCCAATGGTCTCCTATTATTAGTCAATTTATCGTCGTTGTTTCCTCTGCGAACAATTGAATCCCAAAAGTACGATCGATCGCGTTTCTGCCCAAATCTCTTCTTTTCCTTTCTTTCTTTCTTACGGCAAAACCTGGCCAATAAATCGGGCGAAAAGGCATCTTTATCGCCTGTCCCTTTTTGTCTGAATACCGGTTCGAGCGGTCAATTTCCACTCGACGAGCTCGAATAACAACGCGCCGATATCGTTTTTAATTGTCGTCGCGAGAGACACCGCGAACTGTTGACATTTGCCCCGATAAAGTTTGCTCGAACGTTGGATCAAGTTGGATGAAGATTCGCTTCGCTCAGAAATAGAATCAGAAATAAGAAATAAAGGACAGGTCTGGTCAGTACGTTTTACGAGTACTTGAGCGAGGTTTGTTATTTTTAAGATCAGGAAGTAGCGTGAATTTTGATCAGGAATCTTAATCGTTTCGTTAATTCGTGAAGAACAGAGATTGAAATTTGAGAGATTTGATAATGTAGAATTGAGTATATTTTATTGTCTTTCCTTCCCCCGATATCTTAACCTTAATCAAGTGAACGTAACGATTTTATGGAAAATCTTTTGAAGTTTGCAATATGTACTATAAATTTTCCTTAAATTTGTTTTGTTTTATTTATATCCATAAATTTTATTTAAAATTTTAGAACAGGCTTATTAGAATTATTTTAAAATAATAAGATTAGTCTTAGTTGATCTCATTCAATTTGATCTTCTTTCAATTATCTCATTTTTTTTAAAGATCTCTGGCTTATTTTGTAATTTCTTTTTACTCTTTCAAAACATATTTTTACACACACGCATATAAATTTACGTAATCTAAGATGGTCAAGTTTTCATACGTTTGAGATCAAAACGTTGTACATTTCGTTGTACATTTTAAACGGAGAACTCGATGCATTTCACCCATTACATCACTACTCATGAAATTACATTTTCTGTTCCGGTAAACAGGAAGTTGGTGCTATCGTATACAGGAAATCATGATTGCTTTTAACTTCATTGTTTCAGATTCCACACGAAAGCTACAGGATGTCCTCATTGAGTTTTGCGGATCAAACACAACACCCAGCGGTGCGCCCAAATATCATCCAGATGGTGTAAGTTTGAACAAAAATTAAAAATCCACAAACTAAGGTATTAGTTTATTACATTTGTTCGGCATGATCTTATCGCGTATACGTTTTCCATTTTTTCTTTAATTAATAAAAATTTTATCACTTTTTATCAAAAATCGAGTGATTATATCAAAATAAATATATATGGGGAAGAAATAAATTGTTTTCATTTAACATATAATTTTATTTTATATTGTAATTCTAAAAAGATATTTTGTCCAATCGTTTCTCGTTTTCTTTCTATTTAAATTTTGTACAATTTTATACAGTTCTAAAAATTTGATTTTCGTTTCCATAATAATAGTTTCCTTTTCATATAATGAAAGTATTTTCTGAATTTTATATAATTGTGTTTTTTTAATAGTATTTATTATAAATACTCGTATCGATGAGCATTATTATATTTACGTAAAATATTTTGAAAAATTTCAACGCAGAGGTAAATTTGAAAGGCCAAAATTGTATAAATGTAAAATTTTGTTACGATAAAAATTATTTTTAAATTTATCTTCCCCAATATATTTATTAAATAGCATAAGAAAAAAGAATAAAAAAAAACTTAAATCGTTAATGGTGGCTAACTTTAAGTTGGGCATCGCTAATTTTTTACAATCAAACTCATTAATCTTCTCGTTGGTTTCGAGAAAAATACGACTTGCGTTAATATTTCGAATTTTCCATTGTTCAAATGAAAGTTTCGAGGAAGATACGATATTCATAAAATATGCTCAATTTTTAAGAGAGAAAAAGATATAAAAAAGATGATATAGAAAGAGTAATTAGATGAATCAACGTCATTGCAACAGGGGAACGATCGAGTAATACGTTGCGTACTTGAAAGCTTTAATTCTCAGAGTACGATATAATTATGATTTTTTCTTTTTTCTTTCTTTCTTCTTTTTTTTTTTTTTTCGGCCAGATACAGTCGTCAAAAAGTAGTCGACTGTCGACCGTCGTCTGAATTTTCTCCAATGGGTACGCGAAATAATGTACTGGCAATTTGCATTTTTCCCTGCTTCGTCGGTTGTGGTTGAAATAAAACAATACTGATAGATAATAAAATATGCGATGAAATAATTTCCATAATTTCCGGGTAAACATCTTCACTTTATTTCTTTTTTTTTGTTTTAATTTTTTTTGCAATAATGAATTGTTTATCGAAGTACAATAATATTTTTTTTACGCGACCAACAAATTTTTTACCACAATACGTAAATACATTTACGTATTATCTACGTAAATATATTTACAATTTGTTTTTTAAAAACATCCTCCTGATTATTTATTGATAATAATGTTAAATATCTAAATGTTTAATCGTTATCGTTACAAAACCTGCTTGTCGTAAAAGATAAACTTCACTGGTCAGAAACGCGTTTGTATAGCGCTATATTCCTTAATACAATGACGCAATCACATTCATGTATGAAGAATATGAAAGGAGTGTATGAAACACTTACATAGAAAAGCTAGAACGTATTAGTATGCATCGAGGAAACGCGTGTCCCATAAAATCTCAGATTATTCCTGTAGCTATTACAGTGGGAATACGTCTGAGTCCAGAGAAACAGGTGCGAGTTATTGCGAGTTTATACCGCAGAATGTCCTCTACGTATGTTTGTGTTTCCGTATATGCGGGGGCGTGTGTTGTTTATAATGGTATCCCCAAATCGACGATACTTCATACGAAAAATTTGAAAAATTCGAAAAAATTCATTCAAGACCTCATATCTTTGAAAAATATCGAATCGTCTAATGGATTGTACAAGATGGATTGATCAATTATTTTCTTCTATTTTCATAGAGAAAAGAGAATTCTTTGTTACTGTAATAATTTATTATTTAATAAAGAATCACTTACATAAACGCAGACTCGATATCAAGATACTCGTGTTGAAATAAATGAAACGAAGTTGAATTTATTTGATGAAATTGCTTTGGATTTTTTTTTTTTTTTTTAGAAATTTCATTTTTTAAAGCGAATGTTTCTGTTGTGACGTAAGTGGTCTCTTGTTTTCTTCTAGAATAGTTGGGAGAAGGTATCACAGTCTTCCCTACTTTGTTACCAGATCTTTGAAGATCAATGTTTACCGAGTGGCTTGACATCCCCGCTACCTTTTTCTTTTATCAAGAAACTGGATATCTGATACTCGATAACCTCAGATTTCTGTCATCTATAGATTAATAACCAAGTATTACGTTACAAATTAGGAAATGTTATAAAAATAATTAACGAAGAACAATTTCTTATAAAAACAAAAATTAAAAAATGATTCTCTCATATCCTTCGCTAAAATCTATCGCTATAAAATATAACGACGTCGATCTTCATTCATAAAAATTACAAATAACATCAAAAGATTATTTTTAATGTTTATCGAAGCATTAATAATAATTGATTATTAGCGGTGAATTTACGGTGTCATTTTTTGACACGATGATAAAACTATGAGAATAGAAGTTGTTATCGTAGTCGACACGATAGCTGATAATGTCTCCTGACTGATAGATTGTCGGGTGGCGCATCAACCATGGGGAAACTGTGAAAGACGAGTATACGTCGTTATCCGCCACCAGGATAACGATCCCTTTATATCATGCTCACTTACACCTTTATATTTATTTCCCTTCCATATCCAACCATCTTCCACAAATGTAACGCAAGAAATTTTTCCGTATCTTTTTCAAATTTTTCTTTTTTCCAACTAATTTTTCCTTTTTTAATCCTTATCCATTTATTTATTTATCCCCGTTATACAAAAATTGTTTTTGTTTAAACGAGTAAATAATGTTCATCTTTATTCGATTCTCTTTTTTCGTTTATCCATGAAAGAATTTAAATGAAAATATCCTTGCACAAAACAGGATTTGTTATGCGTTTGACGTAAATACAATTTGTCCCGTTTTATCATGTGTACAGGATACTCATGGATATAAATAATAGAGAAAATTCTTTGATCGAGCAGAATTACTACTCTTCCTTTATCTATAGGGTGAGAAAGAGATCTATCATGATGGACCAGTTTGGCGGAAAAAATAACATCGATTAGCACTAACCGATCATCCATGTAACTCGAATTTTCTCTTTCCCAGAAAATGGTTAAATTCTGCGAAAGAGTGATAGAAAAGGCATAGACAAGGATTTCGGATAATTAATCCTATTGTAAAATTGCACGGAAACTCGAAATAATCTCTCTGAAATTAATCATCGTTTATATCGAACCGTAAAATATGGTTTCTGTTAACAAATGACTTTACTGGACTCAATTATTTTTCACTTAATATCTCTTCCTAACGATACTACCAAAGCTTTAAAAGTAATATTACGAATAAAGTAATTGATTATTTAATTAAAATTTTACGTTTCGAAAAATTTTTCCAATTTTTTCCACCTTCCTAAATTAAAACTGCTTTGGATTATAAACGACATCCGTTCTCCAACTTTCCACACTTTTCTTGAATAAAAAGCAATGAACAATGCTTCAAACATGAAACATTGTACAACTATTTGTACATTTTAGTTAAAACAAAACTCGAAGAATAAAGCTTCAAAGAAACGGGGTGAAAATTTTCACTGTTTCCTATTTCTTAAATTAGATTATTTGCCTCTGTCGAATCTTCTCGGCAAAACTCGAGAGAAACAAAGTGAAAATTTTCACTGTTTCTGATTTCTCGAATTAGAGGTGGCTAGATTGAAACCCTCCTACGGAACCCGAGAGAAACAAAGTGAAAATTTTCACTGTTCCTGATTTCTCAAATTAGAAGTGACTGGATTGAAATTTCTAAGCGAAGCTCGAAAGGAGGGGGGATGATACGAAGAACTGTACCACTAGCAAAACGTTTTCATCCTATTCACTGGTCGTGAATCATAATTGAACATGCCAGACGTGGTTAACTATTCGGTGTCGGTCACGATCGACCTCAAATCTCCTCACTGACCACTACTCAGAGAATTCAATTTGCTCTGTCACACCTTCTCCTAATACACGCTATTAATTATGCACGCTAGAATTAGGATATTCGCCGTGGATAATGATGGCGAGCATTAAGAAGTTCAATTTGCACGGTATAGGGGAAAGCGTGTCCATTACTGTGGACTTCCGGCGGATAGGAAATCTCTGCCGTTAATTCGAGAACTTGTGATGGAGATCTCGAAGCAAAATTAATTACGAATGGAACGAAATTATCTCGAGAAGATAGAAATGAGAAACGATCCCCTTTAAAATTTATTATATCACGAGTTTATTTGGCGATTTTAGAAAAAAATGATGTTTAATCTTGGAATATTTCGCGTACTATTTGAATGAATTGTTTGAATCAATTGTTGCTCTGTTGTAAATAAATGTAGACAATTTGAATTATTTTATAATTTTACATCAGCAGACTTCTATTTTTTTTATAACACTGCTAAGTTGTAATTTTGACTTATGAAATTTCAATAATTTAATATTTAATATTTTAATTAATTGAATTAACGAAGAATTAAAGAATGTGTGGTCTAAGAAAGTTTCCCCTAAGGTTTGTTTAGGTTCCGTGTTGATTGGTTGTTGTCGATAATGCTAATTTTCTAATTAAGTGTCCTAAGTGCCACGACTATCTTACTATCACGCGACCTTAATGCCAAAGAGGATTAACGTGAAGTGTTGAGAGTTCATCGGAAAGGTCAAAGGATCTTCTTTACCAGTAATTTCAGCTATCTATCCATCATTATAATATTGAATTTATTAAAATATCTTCGATAAAGCATCGTAAAAATCAAATTATGTTTTTAAATATACTTAAAACGATTTGTATTTATTTATTTTCTATTTAACGCGATTTCATCCATAAACTTGATGAAAGTATTTCGCGTGTATTTTTATTCTCGAACAAAAGAGAATTTATCTTAAAAATTATTTAAAAGTAAATTGAAATTAAATTCCATCGAATTTCCATCGAATGATCGTTTCCAACCCGAACAATATTCAAATATTTCCTATTTA